CGGTTATCATGATGTACGTATGAAGATATGGGCGCAATATTTAGGTCTCCTCGAAGTGAGGTTTGAGCTAGGCGATCGCAAAACGCATCGGTACGCGTCGCGTAAAAACAAAAACATCAATAAAAGAAAACTCCGGAAGTCCGAGAAATAAGAAATTCATAATGTTTAAAGAATTGCAACTTGACCTCGTGCTGAAAAATTCAGGTCTTTGAAGTTTTGTGTGAAATAATGGTGGTAAAACTGTACAAATTTACCGATGAATCTAAATAGCGCGAGAATGAGTTATATAACAAACGCTATTCAAGATACGTACGAAATACCATCACAACCTTTCAGCCTTCTTGTCTATTTTTTGCTTGATTTTCTACTACTACTACTACTAGTAGTAGTAGTGGTAGTCGTAGTAGTAGTAGCAGTAGTAGTAGTAGTACTCCGGGAAATGTGACCACCCGGGGTTCTTTAATGTGCACCTAAATCTAAATACACCGGCCTCAAGCACCCTAGCCTCCGTCGAAAATGCAGCCACCTTTATATTATTAAATGATGAACATTATCGGCCACGCCGTGGTGGTCTAGTGGCTAAGGTACTCGGCTGCTGACCCGCAGGTCGTGGGATCGAATCCCGGCTTCGGAGGCTACATTTTAGATGGAGACGAAAATGCCATAGTTCCGTGTGCTCAGATTGAGGTGCTCGTTTAAAAACCCCAGGGGGTCAAAATTTCTGAAGCCCTTCACTACGTCGTCTCTCATAATTATATGGTGGTTTCGGGACGTCAAACGTCATATAGTAATAATAAAAATAATTATTATAAAAACAATGTTGTTAATATTATAATAGTAATATTATATTTATTATTGACATGAAAAACAGATAACTTCAATGGAACTGTCTCCCATCTTTTGCTGGCACCTTCAAACGAAACTTCAGAGCTATTCTTCTTTTTACATCAAGGTTGGCAAGGTAACTCTACAGCGCTTGAATGGCCCTTCAAAGTTGGATGCCTCTTCAAGCTTTTTCGTGGGGTGCTGCACGATGAAATGCTTTATCCATCTGAGCTAGTGCCAAGTACCATGTAACATGGGCCTTCTTTATACCAGAATGCTCGTGGTACAGAAAGGCGGTGGCGTGCTGTTTGTCATGGACCGTTCACTGAAATCTGTTAGACGGAAAGACCATGAATCTATGGAAGAATCTGTCTGGTTAGATATCAGTCTGGAGCGTCGAGAAAAGTTGTTGAATGAATGTTTCTATTTAGCACCCAGCATTTCCCCTGTTTCGTTTTGTGATGTGATGACTTCCATGGAACGTGTGTTTCACCTTATGGTGGGCACATAATTATTGTTCTTGGTAACTTCAATGTGCCTGGAATTGACTGGAGCAAGCTTACCTTTTCTCAATATAATCACTTCATCGAGAAAATGTGCAGCCTGCTCTTGGATTTTGTGGCGTTCAATTCTCTACTGCAACACAACACAGTCGTCAATTGCAAAGACAACATCTTGGACCTCTATCTGTCTGTCAAACCCGTTCAAGTTGCACGCTCCAACATCTCTCTTGTTCGTCCTGAAAAATTCTACAGTAGTAATAATTGCTAGGGTTTAACATCCCAAAACCCCCACATGATTATAAGAGACGCCTTAGTGAAGGGCTCCGGAAATTTGGACCACTTTGACGTGCACTTAAATATAAGCACATGATCCTCAAGCATTTTGGTCCTAACAAATTCCACCCACCACTTAATGTAAGATTATCTGTTCGTGCCGAAGCTACGAGCTACAGCAGTCCTTATACCAATCTCTAAAATTTGCTTTCAAGAGAGGTGACTATACACGGGCTTTTATTACTACTTGTCAGTCATTGCTTGGTCACAGGTTACTAGCGAACCAAATGTTGATGAACAAGTTGAGCAGTTTAGGGAGCTTGTATTTAACAGCATGGGTCAATTTATACCGCAATATACACCTAAACATCGTGAATATCCCCGCTTTGTCCTCCTCCAAACTTATGAGTGCAACTAAGCATGAAGATCGCGTGCACCAGAAGGGTAAATGTTCTTTACTCAGCAAGTGGAAGGAATATTTTAGCTCTTTGCATACTCTATATAACCGTCTATATAATCTGGACCACATTAATTTATTGCATTATTATAAATCATTAGGAAAAAATCTTTCTGACAGGCCAGCTGAGTTTTGGAAGTATGCACGCGAATTGTCTAGCAAAAGTGGGGAGTCCTTCAGGCTATTGGACTTGGATGTTGTCGAACTGCATGCCGTTGCTGAGTGTTCTGCCACGAAATGTTTTATCCGTTTATAAGACTTCATATTCTAGGACTCAGATAGGACGACGGCACAAGGCACATCTAGTGGTCTTTCCCTGGATGAAAAGCTCATCTGCCCATGCATTAGGCGTTTAAAACTATCCTTATCTTGTGGCCCATATCACATCCCTTCTTCTATACTAAAGGTTTATGATAGTATAATTGCCCCAGTACTGACTACGTCATTTAATAACTGTCTGAACACTTCCACGTTTCCCAGCATGTGGAAAACTGCGCGTGTTTTTCCAGTTATTAGGCCGGGCTGCAAAACATGTTTCTAATTATCACCCGTTTTTTTTACTGTGTGTCACATCGAATATCATTGAGCTTGCTCTTCACAGCATATTGTTTGTTATCGTTAATAATTATTTGATTCATAATCATACGGGTTTTTCCTTGGTCGCTCAACTGCCACAAATCCTGCTAGTTTCATGACGCCAACTTCCCCAACTATTTCTCTGAGAGGACAGGTTGACGTAGTCTACAATGACGTGAGCAAGTCTTTTGACATAGTCAGCCAATCACTGTTTTTGGTTAAACTTGCAAACTTTAATGTTGAGTCATCTGTTGTGATTCTCCTGCACAGCTGTCTGCTTAAGATCATGTTACGTTACCGTGAATAGCCGAACGTCTTCCTTGTGCAAAATGACTAGTGGAGTCCCTTAGGGGTTGGTATCAGGCCAACTCTAATTTTTAATTTACGTTAACGACGTTGCTTCTTCAATTAGTTATTCTTCTTTTCTTTTATATGCCAATGACATCAAGATATTTAAGGTAATTCATTCAGTTAACGAATGTCGCTTCTTCTAAAGTCAGATATGTGTTCTTTCTCTGAATAGTGTGACAACAATAACCTCTCACCTGAATACTTCAAAGGCCAAGTTCATGATTATATCTCGCAAAATAGCCATCGTTTCATTTTCATACTCTGTCCATGCCGTGATACTCTTTAAGGTTTATGAATTCAGTAATATCGGTGTTCTTTTTTATAGCATGCTCAATTTTTCTGCTCACACTAAACGTATACTACTGCCACACGATGCCTTCGTTTCTTCGGCTGTGTTTGCAGAATCTCAGTCCTTCTACAGCCTTCCGGAAATAGTACACCGCAATATGTCTTTCTCAACTTGAGTGCGTTTCTGTGATCTCGAATGACATTGCTATATCTGGCAGTGACGTCATTGGGCGAGCCCGGAAAAAATTACAAGTATTTACAACCATCGCTTTGCTAGAAATCACTCTAGATCTCGTTCAGCACTACCAGGTTATTATTACTAATAATTAAATTATTATTATTATTATTATTATTATTATTATTATTATTATTATTATTATTATTATTATTATTATTATTATTATTATTATTATTATTATTATTATTATTATTATTATTATTATTATTAGCTTTCAATTATCATGAGTGTGCGGAAACAATTTTTGTTTTTACAGCCTCCTAAATTGCTGTGTTACTTCTTTTGACTTCTTGCAGTTATAATCCTTGCCTTTTCTTGCATCTTTATCTCCCTCTTGGAGTCGTAAAAATGCAGCTGTACGCTGCTCAGCAGAGTGTGCGAAGTATTAGAGAATCTGTTTGGCAGATTGGGGACCTAAATTCCCGTGTATCAACAACCATGCACACATGCCACGATCACTTGGGTGTCGTGAAAAATACGCTTCAAAGTGGCTCTCTAAATGGCAACATACTAGATTTATCGGCGCCTAGGAAACTAGACTTTACACCGAGTCATTCTTCATTTTTGCTTTGAGTGGTGTAGCTTAGGCAGGCAGTGCTGTTACACAGTCCTGAATTTGTTGTGCTATTTACATCATGGCCATTGAAGCATATGTCGAAAGGCATTTTTTCTCCGCAGAAATTCTTGCCTAAATTTATAAGTGCATGCTTCGCAGTAAAATGGGATATTTTAGCAGTTAGTTTGTTTGCTACAATGCATGTGAAGTTGTTTGTTCAATAAAGTTACTAAAAATATACATCGTTCGAACATGGCTACGTTATGTGATGCAAGTAACTTTATCACAAAAATGGTTCTAATCATTTGTGTGTACATGCAATTAATTTAAGCTAACCACCCGTCATTTTTCAGTGAGTAATGGGCACAAAAACACGCAAGGCCGAGTACGAGAAATGCATGATATGTTTATTATGGCTTTTTTGCTGCTGAACACTATCGAGACTGTGAGGTTGGGAATTCATTTTTAAAATTGCACTTGACTCGCTGTATAATGGTGCTAATGGCATCCTCGGTGATGGTGCTTCCCTATTTCAAGATATATAGATCTTTTTTCAGGTGATCCAAATGTACGATTTATCGAGATAGTATATGTGAGCTTTAAAAGCGTGATTTTTTTTGCAGCAACTTTTTGTTAAGGATAGCCGTGCGTAAGTATTTTTAGAGGCCGTTAGTACAGTTCAATGTAACTCAGTACAGCACTTCAGATAAGAACTTGCACTGGAATGATTGGCACTTCCACGTGACACATGCAAGGGCTGCACTGCGTGGGCTACCTATATAATTAATTTTCTAGCGTTTATGCAGATTTGTTATCTCTCTGTCAGGTCACCCTGATTTATCCTATTCACAATAGGAACTGAAGGTCAACCGCACATGTTGCGAACCGAAACCCAGGGCCACGAGCTGTATAAAAGCAGCGTACGTTGGGGGTCCATAGTTCAGATATCTCATTGAGGTCTCTGTGGCAGCCAGACGCATCACGATGTCCACCGGCAGGCTTTTCGCCGTTGCCCTGAGCGTCACAATAGTGTCGTCAGCGCTGGCTCAGTGCGTTACATACGGCTACTGTGGCACGGATGCGGACTCTGGCAAATTGCTGCCATGCTCCGTCAAGCAGGCTCCAGTCCCCATCGAAAGCGAAGTTCTACAAGAAGCGTGCCCCGCCCTGACCGACTCTTCCGGCAAGTCAGTGCCAGCCTGCTGCGACGCTAAGCAGGCGAAAACGTTCATCTCCGAGTACAAGAGTCTTGTCAGCCTCGGAGTGGGCAGGAAAAGCAGCTGCTTCAAGAATTTCCAGAACCTCGTGTGCCAGGCATTCTGCTCGCCGAAGCAGTCTGAATTCGTCGCCATCAACCGGACCAGCACCGAAGGAGGCAAACCGTCAGCCACGGAGGCGGTGTACGCCATCAACAAGCGTTTCGCCGACAAAGTGTACGCAGCCTGCAAGGACGTCCGCACCTGGGTCTTCGGCATCAAGCTGATGAGGTACATGTGCGGCAAGTATGGCAACAGCAACTGTTCGCCAGAAAGGTTCCTTGAATTTGTGGGCTCCATCTACTCGGAGGGCGGCTACTCGCCACTCAAGATCAACCACATCCTCACCGAGAGTCCGATCACTGTGAGCGGCCAGACGCTGGAGCCGTTCAACCCCGAGGTTCTCTGAAATCACCGAAAGCTGGCAAGCAAGCGCGTCTCCAATCGATTGATATTAAGTAAATTATTAGAATCAATGCAGCAGGAGCTCTTGTGACTATTTATTTGTCCTCTGCGCCATTGCTCTCGCCTCTTTCGAAATCAACTATTTGGATGTGCTCAGTAATTCAATGCACGCCACAAAACACATTGCTGCACGCAGTACACTTATCGAATACCACCGGTGGAACAAATACATGACCTTAACGTCGCTTCAGCGACCCTAAAGGCACTATTGTCGGTTAAATATTGATTAACTAAACCAGCTTCTGCACTATAAGAGAGTGTCCTTTTGTTTTCAGATTGGTACGCCCGAAAGAAATCAGTTTGGCAGGTTGATACTAGCCAAAGAAGCACAATGTTATACAAGTGTCTGAAGAAGCCAGCACCCTCATATGGTCTTCGTGCATATATATTTCCCAGAGATGAAGCTGTTTTATGTGTATGCAGAACCACTCGTAGTTTTTAGTCTTTTAAGCATCTAATACATGAGCGTTCGCAGGGTTCCCCGCCAAGGTGGGGGGGGGGGGGGGGTGAAAGTTCGTCACGGCGTCCCTCTCGTTTTTAAGTCAAGGTACGGGCCAGACTCTGTGCCACCCCTCCTGTTAAGTCGATGCAGATTTCGCGCCCCCCTTTAGATGACTTTAGAACACAACAGGTTTTCAGGCGAAATCATGTTGAGTTGTGCTTCACAAAGAGAAACTTCGAGCAACTAAGCGAATTTGGAAAAAAAGTTTGTATGCACAGTTCAAAAAAAAAAAATCACTTTCGTAAACTATAGAAAATTGTTCAGCCTGCAGTGGGTGCTCTCATTGCGCCGTCTGAGCATGCCGTATACAAAAAGACGGTCTATAAAGTATTTGCACCTGGCGCTGCAATGATCTAGCTATATGAAAGGACATTCTTATGTTGTTTAAATAATTATTTATTGGACAACTCACATATTCACTGAACGAATTTATCAGTGAATGAATCATTCCCTCTCTTTTCGTTCGGAAAGGTTCCATCAGATTTTCGTATACAGTAGTGGCGTAGCTCATATAAACTATAACGTTCCACTGAAATAGAAATACGCGCCGTACGTTTGATGATAAATCGTTCAACAAGGAACATCACTAGAACTGGTGTTTCAACAGGCAGACTAGTCGAAACGTCTTAGTCACGTATAGGCGGCTGTCAGGGTTGCCGTTGAGTAGATTTGAGAAGCAGCCAAAACTCAAGCAAAAAGTCGCCAAAGAAGCACTTTCAGCTCTGAAATTTTAATTTTTCTCAGACACATTTTAGAACGTATTTTACTAATAGTTAGAGTCTCAGAAGACCAAAAACCAAAATTTTAGTCAGTAGTGTAAGTATTTATGAATATACAGCCATGAAATCAAATTAGACCACCATGGCGCTATAGTCACGAAATGACAAAAAATGCAAGTTTATTGCTGCTATGCCCTAAAGTGCACAAAACCTGAACAAAGCTAGTATGTGAAAATGTGGAAGCTGTTAAAACAACTACAGAGCTTCAACCCGAAAGTGGCGCCTTTCCGCCTCTTCTTGTCCGCGTCGTCGCCACAAACGACCTGGACCCAGATTCTTCTTTACGGCACCACGCTCCACCAAAATAAAACAATGGTGGTGTCGATTGCAGTGGGGACATTCGAAGAAATACGTCTCCAGGAATACGCGGGTTTGATTATGTTTTCCAGGTTCTAGGGTAAGCTTTGTGTGGTATCGTAAATTGACGACGCCAAGGCCGAAAGGAGTAGTCACGCCATTTAACATCAGCTCCAAATTAGTTGAAAAATAGTTTTAAAAAAGGGACCGTTATACAGTTGTTGATATTCAACAGTAAATAATGTAATTTTGAAAAAAGCAAGAATGAATATGACAGGCATATTATTTTCCCTCTTGCCTGGCCTGCAAAACTTACGTAAGCTGGAAGTGAGTTAGTAAATTATTATACTTTCAGCGCACGTGCGTAAATTTTGTCTACAGTGAAGTTCATGCAGAGATAATTTTGAGGCAACAACTGAGCAGGCACATGAAAAGTTGAAGCTTTTTTTTTTGTAGCCGTTGACCTTAATTAGCACAATGTTATAATAACGCCAGCCAAGCTTCAGATAGCAAAATCAGATTGAAGATTAGCAGCCCAGCTTCATTTTGTTATAGATATATCTTTGACGCACCGTGTTTCAGCATTAGAATCTGGCGTCAACAGTGTGCTATATAGCGACACATTTTGTTACATGCACGCGTTCCTCCGTCTTTTCAGATGGAGGGACACTTTTTGGGTGCCTCGTCCCGCACTAGCTCGCTGGCTGGCTAAGGGTATGTACAATACTACATGCATAAGCCAACACGACAGAGAAGCTTGCAAACAGTTATTGTTTTTGAAAAGCGTTCGCTGGTTTCTGTTCAGAAAATTCGGCAGATACCACGTACCTTGGGGATCGGTGTTATGCGGAGCATGCGGAAGGAAGGTGACTGTGGTAATTTTTTATTGAGCGAAGCCTTACGAAATGACGCTCAAGATATGTACGAATGTTGCACGCACAGGCACGTTAAACAGTTGCAAGTTTACTGTTACTTAACGATACCGACAGCAACATGGATATATGATCGACACCAGAAGCGGTAATCTTCTGGTGGCATATACCTGCGGGTATGTGCCAATCTTACATTATTCATGTCATGACCAGTGCGTCGTATATTGCGACCTTCGCGCTCTCCCAAATCATGAGTCTGATTATATAGCGCGCGGTCAGGTGAGACTACGCAGCGGGAGAGGCAACGACCTTTCAAGCGCGCCCAACACGAGACCTTCGCACCATCTGGCTATGATGATGAAAACACGCTGGAGTCGCGTAGCTCGGAGGACCACCAAACAGTATTTGGCGTATATAAATCGCTTGCTGTTAACAATATTGACAACATCAATAAATGAAAAAAGAATGCTCCATGACTTAGTGGCTGGCACCGCGCGCAGCGGATCTGGATGTCACTGGTTCGACGCATCGCGACAGATCCTTTCCTGCTCGTTTTTTTTTAATGATGCATGGTCTTTTTTGGGATGATTAAACGCAAAAATGTTGCTTTGTCTGTCTGCCTGTCTGTCTGTTTGGTTGTTTGTTTGTTTGGTTGGTTGTTTGTTTGTTTGTCAACCGAAACGGCTTAAGTACGACCACATCCACAGCGTCCACTAATATTTTTCAGGTTTCTGCGCTCATACTTGAACAATTGTCGATTAAAAAGCAATTATTGCGCATTTATGAAGACAAATATCAACACGTCAATATTTTGTGGTGTGTGTCTTCACACTAGAAAATAGATACATAAGTATTTCTAAGAACTGTAGCGTTAATTACACTGTGCTGACAGTGCAACGCTATGCACGAAAAGGTGAGTTTTCTACGCATTGCTAAGACAATACGGTGATGCCACCTACTTTGAAATCTACAAAATGAGGCCTCCAGGATTGTGCGCGCACGCTACGCTCTCGCTATAACGAAAGCCATCCTCTCAATTTCTGAGATTACCGCCAGATGGCTCCATGTCTCACGCAATACCTCCAGAATCCCATTCACCAAGTTTCTCGCGCAAAACGTGAACTAAATATTTTACTAAAACATTTAGTTCACGTTTGCTAATGTCGACGGAAGACTATCGTATTTCGGCGACATTTGCAGTCCAACATGCAGATACGAGGCCAATTCCTTTCTTTGTGATCGGTTAGTATATAGATTACAACGTCATATCTGGGAAGAAAATGTGTCAAAGGAGCCTTGGTGGGCCCCGGCACAAAACACTTTCATGTTAAATAAAAACCAGGCGCATCATGAGCGCAAAAATTGAAATACCTTCATCCCAGCAGAATTTACGCTTTCATATAAATTGTAAACGGGCGGACCCAATGTATTGAATCTTCAGCACGCTATATATAGCGAACAATAAGTTATAATTTCTATATGCCCATGACCATGTACCCTGTAATAAAGGCAACACACACCTCTCTCTCTCTCTCTCTCTCTCTCTCTCTCTGTGTGTGTGTGTGTGCGTGTGCGTGTGTGTGTGTGTGTGTGCGTGTGCGTGTGTGTGTGTGCGTGTGTGTGTGTGTGTGTTATAGGCATTCACAGTCATGTAAAATTTCGCGGTAAGATATAAACAAAGCCTGCCATATACATCAGGTTTTCAACATTAGCTTAGAACAAGATTAAAGAAAAACCGAAGACGACTTTCACCCGCTAAATTTAAAAACACAACAGAACTGCTTACGATGTGAAATCTTGTTTGATATTGTTTAAGGACTTGCACAGTTTCATCGGATGTCGTGTTTTCCGTCAGAGGTATGACAACATGCCGTTTGAACAACAGGCTCAGTAACTGCAACGGGCAAGTTGAGAGATTTTGTTGTCGCGCTAAACAAAGTAATCTGGGCTCGAGTCTCAGTATTTATAACGATGACAGGGCAAGCACTTGCGGCTTTTCGCAATGCGTGGAAGTCTTGCGATCCGGAAACCATGCACCCTCGTCGCCGCGGAATGCTCGTTTGCCGTAAACATGCTTTTCCTTGTTTTTTGTGCTCTACTGATACCACTAACTCGTTTCCATGTTAGTGCTCAACACGATTATTAACTGAAATAATAAACGCGTTTGTGTTAATTAGTCATTTCAATGTTACTTTAGCAGCAGAATCTAGCTTCTCATCAGCGTAAAGTTCGTCTATGAGGATGACAAGTGATTTACCATCGTAGCATTGTTACTAAAAATGTGCATTGTTAAAAAAGAAACACACTGTGGAGTTGAAGAATTGCCGTCTTCGTTCATGGAACTCTAGTGTTCATGCTTCAATTGTACCAGGCGACTCTAAACATCTGATTGGAGGTAAACAGCGTAAGGCTTTCGAGTTCCCGTCGTATACGTGCAATAAGTGACCTGTGCCACAATCATGCTACAGTGGAACATTTTTGACGTAAATTGATGTGCCTACACTCCAATCTGGTATAGCTGGTATGAAAGATGCCTTTAGCTGCACACGCAGTCGGATGACAACGGATGGC